CATGTATGATATTAATATGGAGCTGTAGTAGGTAAGTGGTGAGAAGCTGCACTGCCAATCCCAAAGGCATTGTGGTTCAAATCCACCAGATGTCCTGAGGAAGAAGGATGGGCAGTCTCCTGCCATGTGATTTGTTGTTGTTGAATACCATAGAGTCGGAGCCGACCCAGAGCTGACCCTTCGGCCGGTTTTCAGAGGCAGTTAACCACATGGGAGTGCCCATCCTTCCGCAGAGCAGCTGGTGGCCTCGAACCTCGTGCCTTTGGGATTGCAGTGCAGCTTCTTGCCACTAGGCCACTGAAAACACATTGGAGGGTCAGCTATCAGTCAGTTCTGACCAAGGCACACAACAACATGATATAGTTGTTGTTATGTGCCGTTGAGTTGCCTGTGAGTTATAGTAACCCTATGTACAACAGCCCTAAACTCTGCTCAATCCTTTGCCAATCTTATTGTTTCAAACACGCTTATCCCCATTACCCCAGTGACTGAATCAATCCATATCATCGAGGGTCTTCCTCTCCTGTGCCATCCCTCTCCAAGGACTGATTTCGCCTTGCAAAATGTCCAAAGTATGTCAGATGAAGCCTCAGAATCCTTGCCTGCAAGGAGCAGCCTGGCTTCACCCTCTCCAGGACAAACTTGCTTGTTTTCCTAGCAGCTCATAGTACCCTTAATACTCTTCTCCAACACCACAGCTCAAAGGCATCAATTATCCTTCTATCCTCCCTAGTCATTGTCAAGCTCTCTGATGCATAACAAGTGATTGCAAAGACCATGGCTTATATCAGGCTCACCTTAGTTTCCAGACTTACATCGTTGGTCTTCAGTACTTTGGAGAGGTCTCTGACAGCAGACTTTCCCAATGCAATTTGTCTTTTAATTTCCTCGCTGCTGGTACCAAAAGTGTTGATTGTGGAGCCAAGCAAACAGAAGATGTTAACAATCTCAATCTCTTCACCATCTATAATAATGCTGCCAGTCAGCCCAGTGGTGAGAATCTTTGTTTTCTTGATGGTACTGCTTGATAATTTCTACATTCTTACTGATCACCTTCTTTGAAATAGGCACAAATACAGATATCTTCCAGTCAGCTGGCCTGGTAGCCATCTTCCAAGTTTCTTGGCACCGACTAGTGAGCACATTCAGGAATGCATGTGTTTGATGAAATATCTCAGTAATATTCCACCCAATTCCTTGGACCTTTATTTTTGCCAATGCCTTCACGCAGCCTTGATTTCTCCCGTCAGTACTTTTAATCATATGTTACCTCCTGAAATGGCTGATCGTATCTTTTCGTTAATGTGACTTGGAATATTCCTTAGGAACACCATGGGAACACTTCATCTCCCTTGCGCCGTCTAGGTGCCTTGGCGTTGATTCTGACTCAGTAACCTTCTTCCCAACGTAGTGAAACCTTGTCCCACCTCGCCCCATCCTCACAACCTCGGTTTGCTTAAGCCCTCTTGTGCAGTCACTGGGTCAGTCTATCTCATTGAGGGCCTTTTCTTTTGCTGAGCCTCTACTTTTCCAAGCATGGTGTCCTTTCCCAAGGGGGCCTGCCCCTGCCTCACCTGCAAGCTGGAGCCTGGTCCTGGGAGAGGGCCAGCTGAGGTCTGCACCAGGTGTCTGTGCGTGCAGGGGGGCTGCGTGATCCACGGAGAGTTCAGACCCCTGATAGTTCTGGGGCAGCCTGACCCTCTGCACTGCGGCACCTCACAGCCCCTTTGGCAGACAGTGAAAGTGCACCCAGATAGCTACAATTCAGTATGCACGCCAGTGCAGGGCATGTCTCAGTTTCCCCACCTGCAAAAGGGGTTTAAAATGTTTATCTCCCCAGAGGGTAGCTCTGAGCTTAGGGACAATGCTCTCTGTATGAATGTCCCCCAAGGGACACAAAGGTGGGCGGGCTCTATCTTATCTCTGTCCTTCCTCACCTGGTTCCCTCTCATCTGATCTTTCCCCCTCCTTTCCTCTGCTCCCACCCCCCTCCCCATCTTCTCCTCCCCCTTCCTTCCCCTTCCATGCCTTCTTCCCTCCCTCTCTTTTCGCTTCCCCTCCCCTCCCCTCCCCCTTTACTTTTCTCCCTCCCCTTCCACATCTCCCCCTCCCTCCCTCCCTTTCCTGCGTCTTCCTCAAAGCCCGGAGCGGATCGCCGGGTGGATCGGGCCTGCGCGCATGCGCACTGACGGAGCCGCGCGGCCGCGGGTCCGACGTCTCAGCGCCGAGTGGGGAAGCGGCCGCCGAGGCTGCTCGGTCTCCCCGCCCTCCAGGCCACCGTCTCCGCTCCGGCCCGGGCGGCCGGCTGTGTAAGTGCAGACGGGGCTGCGGCAGGGCCCCGCGGCTGCAGGGAGGGGTGGGGCAGTGCGGTGCGCGCGGACGAGTGTCCCCTCGCGGGGTCCCCCTGCAGCCGCCTCCTCCGGGCAGCCCGCCGCCCTTCCGAGAGGCCCGCCCGGCGCGCACCTGCAGGCCCGGCCCCGGGGGTCCCTGCCACCCCCTCCCCGCCCCTCCGCCTCCACCCGGCCACTCGCCCTGCGCCCCCCGGCCCCAGCCCAGCCCCTCCCCACCGGTCACCGCAGCTGTCCCCTCCCGTCTCAGCACGGGGAAGTGACCCCCGTGCTGGATGTTCGCCTCCGGGCGTCCCTCCCGTCCGGGCCCAGCCCGGGCCAGTCCTGCCCGCCGGCCCGAGTACCCAGGACCCCGCTTCCGGGTTCGGGGGCGTGGACGTCACGTGGTTTATGCTCCTGCTGACCGCGTCCGCTTAGCGCGAGTGATTGGGAGGCAGCGCGAGGCACCGCCCTCGCCCCTCCTCCTGGGCCAAAGCCCGGCCTCTGGTGGTGGTCCCCCGGGAGTGAGTGCTGCTTTCTGGGCCCCCCAGGCAATGTGTGTCCAACAAAAAGGCTCCAGAGGGCGTGATGCTGGTGACAAGCCTTTGCATTGCCTTCGCATCCAGATTCCAAGGTCCATCGGGCTGACCCACCTGCCACCTGCCAACTGCCACCTGCCACCTGTCACCTGCCCTTAGGCATCCTTTTGGATCTTGCACATTTAAGGAACTGTTGTTCCAAAGTCCCCTTCAAGGCTGCCGACAGGTGGGTCTAGTAAGTAGTGGCCAGGGCCACTGGACCTTATCTGTGTATAGCAGCTTGTTTAGGATTCCTGCTCCTTAAGGAATTCTGCTGTTGTTAATCAGATGGGAGGCTCAGACACCCTGTGGTCAGTTGACTGTGTCCTCGAGGTTATGACATTGGGCTTGGCTCTGTGGTTTGGAATGTACTAGTGTGACTATCGAGAAAGAACAAACAGGTCTGTCCTGGTGAGGGTGAAGCCAGGTTGCTCCTTAGAGGCAAGGACTGTGAAGCTCGGGAACCTCAGGCTCACATAGTTAGTCCCTGGAGAAAGACCTCATGCTCCGAAGGGTAGGAGGTCAGTGCACGAGTGGGATGGACTGACACAGGGACGGGGCAGTGGATTCAGGTGTGTCGGATGGTGAGGTTTGCACAGGAGAGGAGGCTCACAGCTGCCGTAGGATTGTTCTGAGCTGTTGACTGTCGGTGGGCTCGAGTGTATTAGCGGTCACAGGATTAAGACCTGTTGTTCAGAGGGTCGCGTTGCGTCAACTCAGAGGCACCAGACAAGACCCACGTTCTGAGGGCTCTCACGGTCACTACAAGTCACTGTGTTCACTACAGCTTGGAACGGAGATGGAGCCAGTTTGATGCCCCCTGACAAAAGCTAGTCCGTGTCAGGGAGCAGGATCACCAGGGTCTGACCACAAAGAGTCTGTCTTGTCCTCTTAACTCCCCCATTGCCTGGGACCCTGTGTAACTGTCATGCAAGCAGGAGCTTGGGTGGCCTAGTCAGCAGGGAGTTGTGCTGCCATCCCAAAGGCAGGAGGTTCAAATTCATCAGCTGCTTCGTGGGAGGGACATGGGCAGTCTTCTCCGGTGTAATTTACAACCTCTGAGAGCTCCAGAGGGTCAGCTTTGAGTTGCTTCTCTCTAACGGCAGTGAGAGAGATCAATCGTAACTGGTGTCCATGGTCCCCTCTTTGGAGCTCCCTACCAATATGTTTGGGTTCTTGCTGGTTGATCAGAAGCCTATCTACAAACTCTCCTATTAGACTGAGTTTTAGTGTTTCCCTAATAATTTAGTTTTTGACACTGGAATATTGCAGTCCAGGAGATTTGGCAGTATTACTAATATCAAAGTTTGGGGTGAAATAATATGCATATAAGAACGCCCAAATATCAAATGTACTCCTGTAGAGTTAATTCTGAATCACACCAGCGTACAGGACAGAGGCATAAGCTCCACAGCCACCTTAGAGGACAGAGTGGACATTTCCCATAGAGTTTCCCAGACAGTAATCGTTACAGAAGCGAACCATCGTGTCTTTCTCCGTCAGAGCGACCGATGGGATTGACCTGCTGACTGGTTAACAGCCCAGCACTGACTCCACTGTGCCACCAGTGGATACCTGTGCAGTAGTAATACAGCTTCTGTCCTGGGCAGGAACAAGACAGGTATTTCCCTATTTATACAGTACCTGTCCAGGTGTATGTTGAAGTGGTGAGGGATGAAAGTGTGATCTAAAGTCCCTCATATGGGCTGCACGTCCACAGTGGCCTGTCCTCTTCACACTAGCTGTCACCTCCCAGTGGCCTTGATGAAACCCTTCGGGCGACAGAGTCCTTGCGGAAGGGCACCGCCTTGAGCAGGGCAGCTTTTCGCTCAATGTTGGAGGTGCTGTGAAATTACGAGGCTCTCGGTGGGCAGTCAGATCTGCCAGCCACTTTGAAAGATGTGATGATCTGATTCTTTCGAGTCTGTTATTGCCCCTGTGGGCAGCTCTGCCTTGTCTCGTAGGATTGCTGGGAGTGGGTTTGGGCCTTGGCTTGGTTTGATCCAAGGCCCTTCAAAGCCGTGCTTTCTTGTTGGCGGGGTTTCAGACAGGGCTGCCCTCAAGCCTTGCTTTCTCTCCGGACAGGACTGTCAGAATGAGCGTCCCCGACTACATGCAGTGTGCTGAGGACCATCAGACGCTGCTGGTGGTGGTCCAGCCTGTGGGCATCGTTTCGGAGGAGAACTTCTTCAGGATTTACCAGCGGATCGCGTCCGTCAGCCAGATCAGCGTGCGCGACTCCCAGCGAGTGCTGTACATCCGCTACCGGCACCACTACCCGCCGGACAACAACGAGTGGGGCGACTTCCAGACCCACCGCAAGGTGGTGGGCCTCATCACCATCACCGACTGCTTCTCCGCCAAGGACTGGCCGCAGACCTTCGAGAAGTTCCACGTGCAGAAGGAGATCTACGGCTCCACGCTCTACGACTCCCGCCTCTTCGTGTTTGGGCTGCAGGGTGAGGTGGCCGAGCAGCCGCGCACCGACGTGGCCTTCTACCCCAACTACGAGGACTGCCACACGGTGGAGAAGAGGATTGAGGACTTCATTGAGTCGCTCTTCATTGTGCTGGAGTCCAAGCGGCTGGACAGAGCCACAGACAAGTCTGGGGACAAGATCCCCCTCCTCTGTGTCCCCTTTGAGAAGAAGGACTTCGTGGGACTGGACACAGATAGCAGGTGAGTTGGCATCGGGACCCAGCGTCTCTGGCCTTGGGCTCAGTCGCTTCTTTACATCAGAAGGGCCGTCACACGGTCGAATGGTATCGCGGCAAGCGGTCAAACCGTGTAACCCGTTGGTTTTCCTCCTTTAGAATCGAGTTAGCCCTCGGAGAGGGGAAACCACCGAGGGTGCGCGCGTTCGTTCTCCGTTCTGAGCGTCACCCTTGAGGGGCCTCCCCAGCTGTGCCAATCTACATGGTAGCACTGTCATCGGTGGCTCTTGGTCCGAGTCACGGCCTGACGGGCTGTGGAGACTGTCACGTCCTCCCTCGCGTCGCTTACAAGGCACACGTGCTGGGTGGTTCTGCTTGGGCGTGAAGCTTACCCAGCACAGCCTCCGGGAGCCAGAATGGGGTGGCACACCTGGTTTTTCAGGGTCTCAGACTTCTTGCCTATGACGGGCAGCCTTATTTCTTCTCTATCTTGTGTTAGTTTTCTTTCTTAGACAGGTTTCTGCCTTCACCTCTGAAAGTTTTGCCGTATTAAAACAAGCTCACCTGTTTTGTTTATTTAAAAGTAGCAATGAGACGATGGAAGGTCACCTGTGTGGCTTGCGTCTTCTCTGGGGACAGCACCTCCCTAGATCCTGGCTTAAAACGCCGGCTGGGTCTCCTTCTTCTGCTCTGTAGGCGAGATGCTGCACCTGGGGAGACCGTGGGGCCAGGAAGGAAGTGACCCACGAGTAGAACCACGTCTCCTAGGTCTCTCACCTGGGGACCGCAGGGCAACGAGGCAGGTGTCCTAATTCCAGGTGCGCCACCAGGGCACTCCCAAGAGCCAGTCTGTTTGCCTGAGAGTGAGGAGGAGGGGGTCACACTAGCAGGAAGATCATGGTCCCCACGGGTCCCTCTGTTGAGTCAAAGGCTGCATCTGAAGTAAGACCTCAGACAGGACCTCTCTGCATCTCTGTCCTGTCTTGTCCCCACTCAGGCACTGTGTCACTGGTCACACAGCACCATGCTGGCTTCAGGCAGCAGAGAACAGGGTGCGGGCCTTGGCAGCAGAGACAAGATTCTGAGTCCACCTGTGCCACTCCAGCTTTGTGGCCTCGGGCGGGCCAGGTGCCCAGCGTCTTTTTCCTTGGTCGGAGGCTGGCTGCCTCCTCACAGAGCTGGTGGCCTGCTTGCCTTTCTCCCGGGGGTCAAAGGATGGCTTTTCCTGGTTGGCTGAAGACGTTAGGGAACTCAAAAAGAGGCACAGCTGTGTGGTCTCTGCTGCACCTGGGAGGTGGCCCGTCCTCATCTGAGCGCCCTTGTTGTTGGCGTGAGGTGAGGACGAGGCTCGATCTGTGCAGGTTCTCATCCTCTGATCATCCTGTGATCTCCATGGTGTGCTCCCAGATTACCAGCTCCATGGGAGGCAGCCAGGTCCAGGCACCTGGGCCCCCTGAGTAGCAGCAGGGCCGTCTCAGAACCAGCCAGCCTGTGCTCTCAGCCTCAAGCCTTCAGCACCCAGGGAGAAGCTGGGCGGCTGTAAAGTCAGCAGGTGCCCGAGGTCCTACCCCAGACACTCAGGCGAGTGGAGAGGCCTCCACGTGCCCCCTGTGGGCCTGACCCTACAAGGCAAGCCTGTGGGTGGACGTCCCCTCTCCAGAGAGCCCGCTCAGAGAGGTGGGCAGTGGCTGGACTTCTGAAAGAATGCAGGGGAGAGAGCCCCTGACCAGAGCCACGTCAGCTCAGTGACTCTTCTCAGGGGTCTTGGACGGAGGGTGAAGGTGTCCCGAGATTTCCAGTTCCTTCCTGCCTTTTTTCGTCCTTGCTCACTATTTGGTTGATATTGGGAGCTGCCAGCGGGAAGCTCTGCTCAGCGGAGGGTCTCAGTGTTGGGTGCTGCTCGGGTGGGAAGCTCTGAGGGGCTGGGCTGGCTCTTGGCACGTGTCACTTGGGCCCTTGTCCCTTCTTGGCAGCGCTCATCTGTAAAGCGTGGTCGTAGCAACAGAGCGCACCTCGCCTGTGGGCAGAGTAGGGGGGTCCAGGCAGTCATGGGCATGTGAGTCCAGCTGGCGTCTGGCCCCTGACCAGAGAGATCGGCCTGAGAAAGGCCTCTGACTTGGGGTCTCAGACTTCCTGGGAAAACTTATCCGGGGTGATTTACTGGAAAGGTCATGAGATCTGCAACCTTGCCAAAAACCCGTGGGGGATTCTTGCAATTGTAGAGCTGTCAGTATTATTTTTGTTCTTATGTGTTTCTAATTTTTTGCTTGTTCCTCTTTCTTTTCTTTTCCTTTCCTTTTGTTCTCTCATACTGCCCTGTGAGTATGTTGTTGGGTCTGAAAAGGTAGGCTTTGCACACTGCATTCCGAGTAGCTAGAGCCCCTTGCCCTCCGCTCCGCTCCCTGCTTCAGAGAACCCGCAGAGCGCTGTCTCGCCCGTCCCTCACCCCTTCGCTGCTGTGTTGTTTTTCTTTTAACTTTGGCTTTTTTAGCACATAACCCAGTGGCTCTTGGGACCCGTTGGAGTATGTCCTCTGGGAATCACGTGCGGGCTCCCAGCATTTCGTGACGTGTGAGCCTGTCATCTGTCTGAGGGCCAACTTAGGTGGGCTCCTGGGGCTCACAGGATGTTTTAACTCAGAGGTCTGAAACATCTCTGATGGCGGCTTGCTTGGGCCAAGGCTGCCAGCGAAGTCCTCAGGCATGTGGGCGGCTGCGTGATGTGCATGTGGGTGCTGCCCTGCAACCGGGGGACGTGTGCTGTGTGGACAGAGGTCAGTGCAGAGGCCTCTTCTGTACATTCCGCTCCCCGAGGGCCCCAGCATTGTCCTGAGTGCAGGAACGGGCCACCCCACACTCTAGCTTGCCTGACTCTTGTGGGACCCAGGACCTCTGTCTCTGTCAGACCTCCTGACTTCCTCTCTGCTCTAGGCTGTAAATTGTGCAAGGCAGGATTGTTGTGAGGCTGGTGGGTGCCCCAGGTTGCTGTGACCTGGGCAGAAAAGGAAGAGCTGTATTCGTTTGCCGAGGCCGGGGTCCATGCGGAGTGCCTGGTGGCACACACAGTTAACACGCTCCGTGGCTGCTGACTGAAAAGGAGGATGAGGCCCACTCAGAAGTGCCTAGGAAGAAAGGCCTGGCAATCTGTTTCTGAAAATGCGGCCACTGGAAACGCCACAGCGCAGTTCTCCTGTGCCGCACTGGGTGGCCTTGAGTGAGCCAGTCTGACAGCAGTGGGCCAGTTAGCTTTCCGTGTCCATTACTGTGGGCCAGCCTTTTGTGTCCAGCAATGCCATCAGAGGTTAGCTCTCAGGGAGACCCTGTGACGGCCGCAGCCCTGCCCCTGCGTTTTCTCCCCCTTCCTGGGATGCGATTCAAGCTCTGAATCACCACTTCTGCTGCGTTGGCCTGGAGATCCCGCAGTGCCTCGAATGTTTGGTCCAAATGTCAGCACTTTTGTTCTGGACTCAACTGAGGCAGCAGAATTTTCGGGAAGATTTCATCATCTACCTGCAGTAGTCCTCTTCAGTTTCAGCAAGCAGGGTTGCGTCATCCGCGTAACGCAGGTTGTTGATAAATCGTCCACCAATCTTGACCCCACATTTCTCCTCATAGAGCCCAGCCTCCCGGATAATCTGTTCTGCATACATGTTGAAAAGGTATGGAGATAGGATGCATCCCTAGCGTACGCCCTTCCCAATTTTGAACCATGCAGTGTTCCCTTGCTCTGTTCTGACGACTGCCTCCAGGTCCAAGTATAAGTTTCGCATTAGAACGATCAAGTGTTCTGGGATTCCCATTCTTCTCAGAATGAAGCGCCTGCTGCAGAGGGTCAAGGACTGCAGCCTCCCATATGGATTGAGGCTCAATGTCAAGAAGACAAAGATTCTCACCACTGGACCAATTGGCAGCATCAGGATGGATGGTGAAGAGATTGAGATTGTACACAGCTTTAGTTTGCTTGGCTCTGTAGTCAACAGTCTTGGCACCAGCAGCCAGGAAATTAAAAGGCGCATTGCCATGGGAAAGTCTGCTGTTAGGGACCTCTCCAAAGTGCTGAAGAGCAATGGTGTCTCTTTGGAGACTAAGGTGCGTCTGATACAGGCCATGGTCTTCGCAATCACCTGTTACCCATCAGAGAGTTGGACAATGACCAAGGAGGATAGAAGGAGAATTGATGCCTTTGAGCTGTGGTGCTGGAGAAGAGTATTGAGAATACCATGGACTGCTAGGAAAACAAACAGATTTGTCCTGGAAAGGGTTAAACCGGGTGGCTCCTTGGAGGCAAGGATTCTGAGGCTCCATCTAACATACTTTGAACATGTTGTGAGGAGAGACCAGTCCTTGGAGAGGGACATCATGCTATGGGAGGGTGGAGGGACGGCGCAGGAGAGGAAGGCCCTCTATGAGGTGGATTGATTCAGTGACTGGGATAATCGGGATGGGAGTGTCAGAGACAGTGCGATTGGCACAGGACAGAGCGGAGTTTAGAGCTGTTGTACATAGGGTCACTATGAGTCGCAGGTGACTCGACGGCACATAACAACAACAACGACACCTGCAGTAGTGAGGCAGCAAAACAGAAATGATTGAAGTGGACCCACCACATTGTAGCTGTCCCCACTAGATGACCCAGGGCAGGGACTCTGTGGGGGCTGATGTGACACAGAGGGGGGACCCCATGAGGGTTGATGTGACCCAGAGGGGGGACCCGGTGGGGGCTGATGTGATGGAGGGGGGACCCCTTGGGACCTGATATGATGTAGAGGGGGAAGCCCGTGGGGGCTGATGTGATGTAGAGTGGGGACCCCGTGAGGTCTTTCTGTGTCCCTACCTCTGCCACAGGCCGACAGGTGGTTATGTCAGTGTTCAGGTTGTGAATGAACTGTGACCTCTGGGACATCTCTTCCTCCCTGTGGCAGATGGGTGTCTTCTGAGTGACCGTGTGTTCACTGTGCCAGGGTCCTGAGGGGCCAGCCCACTGCTGTCAAGTTAGTCTCAGCTCCCAGGGACCCTGTGACCACCT